CATGCAGTGCTGCCATCTTCTGTTTCAGTCCGTTATTACACTCTTAAATCCTACTACTTATTCCTGCGTCTTTTGTGATCTTACAAAGCTTCAAACGACGCGTCGACTATTAAATCAGTCGTCGACGATTTTGATAGTCGACTTAATCGTGACTAGTCGACGTAATCGTGGCAGCCCTATTCTGCTACCTACCAGCTTCATGGGTTGCTGGTAGGTAGCAGAACAACAGCAGTCACTCCAGACATGTTCGCAAGTGTATGGGACACGTTGGACTATGACATGGACATATGCTGTGCATCCTAAGCACTTGTCAACATTGCAAGTTTTGTAAGTAAAATGATATATTTAGCCATGAATTAAAACATTTACCACAAGCTTCCATGTCTATCACTTTAAACAGTAAGCCTTTTGTAAATGTTTGTCAGTGTCATATCTTTCCCTGTCATGTCTGCAGGCTCCCAACAGGCGAGTGTATCCGAAGCAGAGGTCTCCACACAGACAACATATGCTCAGGCCAGTCAGCTGTTGGTGAAGCAGGACATACTGAGAGCAGACTTTCTGGTAAATCAGGAACACTGGCCGAGAGGAGACAAAGGCCAGCTGCAGGATCTGTTACACTGTGAAGCTGTGGCTTGTTTCAAATCTGAACAGAGCGCAGGGTCCCCCTCCTCATGCTTTCAGAGCCAAAGTGTGGCAAGCACACAGGGAGTAGTGCTTTTCCCCCATGCCTCAACAGAGTCTAGGAAAATTAAGCAGGAAGCAGATGGATGTGGAGGATCGGATTTCTGCCAGCCCATCTCCTCAGATAGTGGGGCTGAAAATGATGCCTGTGATAATGAAAGGATGGAGAGCAGAGCATCCAATTCAAAGACAGTGCAGCCAAAAACAAAGCAAAAGCAGAAGCAGAAGAGTTCCAGCTTAAGCACTAAGAAAAGGACAAGTCCTTTCTGTTGTAAGCTCTGTGGAGAATCTTTCTGCCACAGGAATTCATTGATGATTCACCTGAAAACACACGGAGACTGTGCGCTGCAGCACATAGAAACACACAAGGAGGACAATCTGTGTCACGTCTGTGGCAAAACATTCACCACAAAGACCCATTTAAAACGGCACATGCTGATCCACACGGGTCAGAAGCCTCACTGCTGCAAGGAGTGCGGCAGGAGATTCGCACGAGGCGAGTGTTTGAGAGTGCACATGAGGATCCACACAGTGGAGAGGCCGTACACATGTGGAGTGTGTGAGAAAGGATTCAGACAGAGAAGTAATCTAATTACTCACATGAGAAAGCATACGGGAGAGAAACCTTACCGCTGTGGCATCTGCTCAAGACCATTTGCATACAAGAAGGACATGCTGAGACACACGCAGATCCACACAAAGACGTGAAAGACTCTCCACCGTGATAAGCTTTGGTCTAGTACTTCTGAGTTTAACTTGTTTGCTGTTATAAATTTTTTTCCTTTTGGTTAAGTGTGAAAAAAGAGAAGTGAAAGTGTGTTTATTAATAGAGCAAAGTGCATTTTCAAAATGCTTGTTGTAGATTGCAAGGGCTAGGCAGTTAATCCCATTTTAACCTCCTTTACAAACAAAAAACAAACAAAAAACATTTCATAAATATTAAAAATAAGCGAGTCTGCTGCTGCCTGGATGCATTCATACATCTGCATGGTCAGACATCTCAGTTGAGACTGTGCGCCACCAGAAGCTGCCCAGTCTTCTACCAGATGAAAGTGTCTTTGTCATTTATTTAATTTCCAATTGAATTATATTTTTTGACATTAAGCAGGCCTGCAAAGTGTCTCACAAGAGCAACATAATATTACATGTCATGGGTGGGTGTGTGGGGGGGTCCTGGGTGTTTTTAATATAGCTGCATTAATGTGTAGAACCTCTCTAAAATAATTAATAATATCATTTTAGTGTGTTCATGTGTGTGAACAGCCTGTTCTGTTTTTAAGGGTATCAACAGGGCCGTGTTCCAGAAACAGCTCTGAGTTATTTAACC